TCGTATATCTCACAACTACTAAGAGTAGTTGTGCTGTTGCTACCACCAGTGACAAGAACTTTGTTCGAATTTAACAGGGTTGCAGTGTGATCATAACGTGCCACTTCCATGTTTGCAGTAGAGTTCCATTGGCCTGTTGATGGATCATATATTTCACAAGTAGCAAGGTAACCGGAAGATGGTCTACCACCAGTGACAAGAACTTTACCCGAACTTAACAAGGTTGCAGTGTGACCATAACGTGCCGCTGCCATGCTTGCAGTAGCGTTCCAGTGGCCTGTCGATGGATCATATATTTCACAACTAGCAATAGCAGTGCCTGCTGCGAGACCACCAGCAGCAAGAACTTTGCCCGAACTTAACAAGGTTGCAGTGTGAATATAACGTGCCACTGCCATGCTTGCAGTAGCGTTCCAGTGGCCTGTTGATGGATCATATATTTCACAACTAGCAAGATAAGTGCCTGTTATGACACCACCAGCAGCAAGAACTTTGCCCGAACTTAACAGGGTTGCAGTGTGATAGACACGTGCTGCTGCCATGCTTGCAGTAGAGTTCCATTGGCCTGTTGATGGATCATATATTTCACAACTAGCAAGATAAGTGCCTTCTGCGAGACCACCAGCAGCAAGAACGTTGCCCGAATTTAACAGCGTTGCCGTGAATTCATTACGTACTGTTGACATGTTTGAGGTAGAGTTCCACCGGGCTTAAGAAGAAAGCGTTGCGTCAAGTATTAGTATTGTAACGGTACTAGTGATATAAAGGAACGTCGATTCGAAGTTCTTTCTAGTTATTCGAAGTTTCATTTGCTAGAAAATGTTTTGAGCATGTGGGCCTAATCGGAACGTTACTTGGATTTCAAGTGTTAGAAGACGTGTACTATCGGTTGAAGAGCTGTGAAAATTCTCAGAATGTAGTTTGAACTTTTCAGTCGTTTCTAGAGAAATTCGACCTTTCTCAATCGATTATCTCAGATTTCTTCCACAGTAAGAGCTTCTTTAGAGCAAATAGTTTCAAAGAGCTGAAAACGCACAAATTCCGGCATTTTAGGAAACTGCCAGTTGAAACGACGTACAACTCCGTAACGACACATTACTTAGACTTACAACCGTGAACTTCAGACATGCGTTCGTTCTTTTACGGTAGATGATGCCATGAGAGCCCAAATCATGCATCCAGTCATTTTACAGAAAGACTTTCTCTCGGAAAATGGAGCAAAACTCTCATCCTATGATGTTGTTGAAGTACCACTATGTATACTATCATGAGCGATGATGGGTTTTTGGAATCTTTTAAAATCCCTAGAAAAGCAAGGAAGGTTTCTAGAAAACCAGACCATGAAAGTTTTCAATCCACTTTAGGATTTTCACATCAACCATTTTATAGAGCATGTCAGGTTACACATGTCAACGTATTTTTATAACTATTCGATTAGTTTTAACTAAGTTTTAAATTTTTCAAACACTAGAGTATTACCATGCACGCATAGATGTATGCTTTTAAGCATACTTGAACTAAAAGTTTCTGTTTTCTCAAAACTAATCGAATAGTTTAAAGAAGTTGCTTGACATGTGTAACTTGATATGCTCTATGAAATGGCTGATGTGAAAATCCCAAATTCGATTGAAAAATTTCATGGTTTAGTTTTGTAGACACCTCAGTTGGTCTTCCACGGGTTTTCAAAGATCATAAAAGTTCCACCATGGCTCATGATAGTACACATGGTGTACTGCAACAATATCATAGGGGTGATCCATGTTCCAGAAGATAATCGTCTTCCAACATGTGTAGATCGATGATTTGGGCTCCCACAGCGTCATCTACTGTGAAAGAACGAAAACATGTCAGGAGCTCGCAGTTGTGTGAATTTGTAGTAGACACTATCTAGTATTTATGATAAAATTGATTTGTCTAAGTCATGCGCCATTACGAATTTACACGTAGTTTAAGTTGACAGTTTTTCAAGATGCCCGAATAATCGTTTTTGGGGCTTTTCGTAAAAGTTGAATATCTCCGCAACACAACATCCTTAGGACCTTTGGTTTTTATTTGAAATCCATGAAAATGTTTGCTCTAAAGAGGCCCCTATGTTGGAAGAAATCTGAGATGGTCGATTGAGCAGCATTATACGGTAATAGGACGTGGCTTATCTCTAATGGGTCATATTGATATTGTGAAGTAGTTTACATAATTGCTGACTGTGTTATGAGATTTTTAATTTTCCATGAAAATAGCCGAAAGTGGCTTCTTTCGTCTAATATAGAGCTTAACTAAGCTCTTGGATTCAGTTCTGAAAAGAAAGGTTGCCGCGAGACTGAGTGTTCTCCCTATGCTTTCAACTATTTTCGAGGTTGCCGTAAGGTACCCTTACCAAACATCAACCCTCGCGCTTCAAACACACACGAATCGCTTTAGTGCCTCAATAATCTCCTAGGAAACTCAATGTCAAGCCTAAACGATGGAAAATGAACTGGTCGTTCAGTTTCCAAGAGCGTTTTTGAAGAGGACGCACCCCTAGACAAAATCCTATGCACTTCTTATCTGTTTCCTACCAGGATCCTATTATGATCGGTGTAGGATCCTAATAATTTCCTG